AACAGTCTTTTGTCTTGTGGTCAGTCCCCTTCACAGGCATCACACCTGAAGCTATTGTGTAAGTACTGGCTGAACATGTAGGGAAAGTAATGGTATCACTCAGCTGTGAAAGGTTAAATTGGTAGGAAACTCGATTTAACTTACGTGGGCTGTTCAAGTAGCTCTAACTGGGCAGAAAGGCTTTGGAGATTTCATCTCCTCCTTTGCCCACTGATGGTGAATTGTCTGTGAGGCTTTAAGGAGCAGGGAGAATTGAAAGATTTTATTAAATTAGTAGTTCAGGGTACTTTTCTTGTTTGCAGTGTCCTGCAAACAATACTTGGAGTTTCGTTTTAATTTTTCCCACGGTTATGTTTGAGAAATTCACACTGTCAGTGTTTGTGCAGTATGAAAAACTTGCTGAGAATGAAGAGAAACCAAACCTGTCTGCCTTGTTTGTAGAGAGAAAAAAGTTAAGATGATAGCCTCTTTACTTACTGTGTCATGCTATTGCTTTTTATTAGCAAGTAGAAATAATGATTCAAGCATGAATTTCACCTTCTTCATGCTAAACCAGTTTTCCTACAGGGAATTTTTGAAGAGAGATGCATGTAAATAAATACTGTTGAATTTAAACATGTGGCTGTGTGTTTTAAGAAGCCCTACTCAGTGGTAACATCAGGGACGTGGAAAATGATGCAGTATTGGAAATTTGTTATTAGTGGCTCTGCAAGTAGATCTGATTTCAGTAGGTGTCTTTAATTTCTGAACACTGTATGTTCTTGCTTTTTTGCGTCAGCAAAAACATTAGGTGGAACAGAGTGACTGTAGGTGGACTGCTCGATAAGGAAAAATTATGTGAATCCTTGCAGAGGAAGTTGGATAAAAATAGATATATATAAAGTGACTTAGTTCAGAGCTTTCTAAGAAATCTGAGTTTAACCAGGAGTCTTATTAACAGTCTGATTATTAGCATGAAAGAATGCATACTAAAATGGAAAATATGAAAAATTCTACTTGCATTTTTTACAAGGCTTATTATTTCTTGTAAGTAGCTGTATGTGATAATAGTTTGAGAGGATGCTTCTATCTCAATTCTGTGGTGTCCATGTGGCGTGTTCTTTTTTTTTTTTTTCCCCTCAAAGAAAGACCACAGTTTAATTCTAATTTGTCCCTCTGATGCTTGTAGGTACTTCTGTTAGTACCATTATTTTATATGCTGGTTTTTGTCCTGTGTCTTAGTCTTTTGTTGCTCTGGATTAAGTAAAGTTTGTTGTGTACTGAGATGACTAATAGAGGAAGATTTGGTTTTTTGAAACACTTTTTTTGCGGAGCGTTAAAGGGAAAAGGTAAATGTATGGCATCTTCAGTAACTGGAGATGTAAGCGACTGTAAATAAAAGCTGGAAAAAGAAATAGGTAAATATTTTCATTTTAGTCACTTTGTTGGCTGAATACTTGCTGTTTTCTGTATGTTCAATTGGTAGATGCCAAATAGCTTGGGTTTGGTTTTTTTTTGTATTTGTTCTCTTTTTACAACTAAGAGACAGCTGCTGCTCTTGAAATGTAGGCAAATTTGATCACGCTGTGATCAAATTGAGTGAATGAATCAGGATGTTGTGGGAAGTTCTATTTTTGTTCTGCGTAGAAAGCAAAGAAAAATGGAGAAAATTTACCATGGTCTAAAGAGATGGGTAGCTGAATTCATGAAGAGCAGAGCCAGACAAAACTCCTGTGATGATGCATTGGTACTAGGTTTTTAAATAGAAAATAAGACTTAAGTAGGTAATTAATTTCTATATACTTGAGTCTCCAAAATACAGAGATGCTGAGGTTTGTCTTCAGTGGTCTGTCTTCTTGGCCTTGCATGCCCTTGCCAGTTCTGGTTTGTTTCTGTTGTATTCACAGAGTGAGAACCCTTGGTTGTACTTCCATAATTTCCTGTTACAGCTGCCTGACCCCCTCTTTCCTCTTTCTGTTCTTTCTGCTAATCCATATTAAAAAGGGCTCCCAAAGAAACACAGCCAGAAATGGTCCAGAACTTCATTACTTATTACTTGAAAATTCTGTGTAATAATAATTTTTGCATCACTTTGCTCTTGAAGTTCAGATTTCTTCCCACTAGTATCTGTTGTTGAATCACTGTGTTCTGATAAGTGTATGCAATAAAATGTAACCCTCTCTTACATTTTATATTTTTGGAAGCCAGAAGTGAAGTTTTGTCATGAGAACAAGATGATGCAATCTAGAGTCTCACCAAATGGTGAAAGGAAAAGGAATCTGTCTTATCATTTTTCTCATTTCACTTTTCCCCCAAATATAGTCTTTCAGAAGGTAACTCTAGGCAACAGCCTGTGCAGTGAAAAATTCAGGTATATATTCTTGTGGGTTTATTTGACAGTTTCACAATTCTGTTCTTTATTTTAAAGTAATGACTCTGCAAAATTATCAACTGTCATCAGGAGAATTTCATAAAACGTCTTGCTTTCTTTAGTCCAGTTTGTTTCTTAAACACTCATTGGGTTGTCTTCTTTTAATTTATTCCTATTTTTTTTTCCCTATTCAATGAGGCCTAAAGCAGAGTAAATCACACCGTAAAATCCTCTGATACACCCAAATCAGAACTGAATACTAAATTTTTTCCAAGCATGGTTACTGAGATGTAGGCAGTCATATCTGAAATTTCTAGTTGTGTTTAAATCGTCTACGTTCACTGTCTACTCACCCGCAGGAAATCCTTAAGTTTCTTATGAAGTCCAAACATAGTCCTGGGTATTCTCTGAACTGTGCCTGTAAAGTCTAGGTAAAACCATTTGCTAATTGCTGTCATTTTTACTTTTGGAATTTGACCTTTAAAGCATCATCTTTAGAAACTCAGTATATTATTTCATGCTTTTATATTGACTTGAAACTTTTCCCCCCCATCTATCATTTACTCTTTTTTTTTTTTTTTTATACCACCAAGAAACTTAACAGCGTATGCTTTTCAGGTACAGGGCAGCTATGTTTAACTTCACTAGGATAGAAACATTTGGAGAATATTTTATTTTTCTTTTAGCAATCCATCAGAGATTAAGGAGAGTTACATTTTCTCATTAGGAAACTGTTCGGTTATTCTGTAAAAAGGGACGAAAATACAAACATTGTTAGCAAATGTATCAGCTTTTCTCCGTCCTCTTTAGACAAATTCTGTGGGGTTAAGTAATAATATTGATGCTTTCAGGAAGAGATTAATATTATCCTGCAAAATTATTAATGGCTTCAGTAGAATGAGACTACATCTAACACACTTATATTGCATCCTTGCTCTGTAACAAGTGAAGCAAATTTTTTAGTGCACAGTCAGCTACAGTGTTACAGATGGCAAGTGAATAAAATGTTAAAACTTGTACATAAATACTTGGAAAGTACACTGATGTACATTGGAATGGAAATCTGTAATGGAAAATCTTCCCATTTCAGACATTTTGTGAATGGCATTTCATCACTGCTTGTACTTACATTCAAGTTAAAAAAAAAATAATTCAGAATATTTAAATAAAGTACGTAGTTATAATTATGATAATTTCAGGATGCATTTTAAATCAAGGAACTATACTTTCATGTGCACATACTTACATGTATTGTGTATTTGTTTTTAAATTAAAAGAAACCTGGTCTCCATCTTCCTGTTGACATCAAACAATCCTCTGATATGCAAATCCAGCTATGGGGAGAACAGATACACAGGGTTTGTTTGGATTCAGTCCAAGACTGAAAGAAAATTGTATTTAAAGATGTAATTTATATGCTTTGCCTCATTTAAATGAAAATGCATTTTGAAATAATCCCTATAGCTAAAAACATTTTGGTGGAATGTTATGATCCTTTGTATCGCTGATGCATTTTGCTACAGCTAGTTTAAAACCATCTTTCTCATCCTCCTGCATGTCTCTTACGTGTAGATGCAGCTGTCAAGCATATTTTAACATAGTATGTGGACGTATTTTTATTTTTCCAAACTAATGTTTGTTATGTGAACTTTCTTAGGGTGTGCATGAGTGTGAAGTGTGTGTGTGTGTACCCACACTAAGATACATATAAGTGCTTTGCTTTACATCTAAAATTTTGCTAATATTAATGTGTAGGTATTTTCTTCATGTGTTTAAAATCTAACATATTACAGTTTCTTTAAAAAGAAAGGCTAAATGAGCAACAATTTGTCAGTCTTCTTACCTTTAGCTGCAAAATTTATAATTATTAAACTTGTACATTTTAGCATTGGCTGAATTCCAGGTTTTCAGTTTGTGTCTTTGGAGGACTGTGGTTCCAGTTCCTGAATATAATATTTGGAGAAGATGTGTGTAACAGAGCATATTTGTTTCTCGTAAGCTTTAACAGGCCATTGAAGTGTTACCAGTGATCAGTAATGGTATTTTTTATACAGGATGGAAAGTATTTGAACAGGAGTTAGATCACTGTGAAACTTGCAGAAATCAGTTCCTTTAGTCTCCTTTTATGTATTGCAAAAGTTTGTAAGACTAATCTAATCAACCCTTTTTACATGATCTTTGTGACTGTGTGTCACTACTGTTGTGTTTTTCTTTTATTTAGAAAACGAGGGTATGGAAATCAGTGTTGGTGTAAGGAAGTATTTAGTTTAGGAAGTTCTGTGGCACATATCTTTATATCTGACCTTTATTTGTTCTGTATCCACTTCATGCTAGACTATTCTGACCCCATTAATCCAGCAATGAGGATTGGAAAATACTGTTTAAATCCCTTTTTGGGATAGCAGTTTTATTGCATTAGTGTTATTTGTAGCTCTGTGTGTGAACTGACTAAACACATACATTGATGATACATGTATTAATATTTAAGGGAAAAGCTTTCTGTATCAAGAAATTTTATTAAACCTTTCTCAATAGGTTGTGAGCCTCTTGTATTAGTTTTTTTTTTAAATAAAGGATTTTTAGTCTTTTTCCAGTCATTTTATGCAAGTTTTAATTTTTAATATTTGCTGTCCATCCTTTTTTCTTTAAGCATTTTAAGAAACAGAAGAGGCTGATTCCTGAAAGAACAGTTTGGAAGTACTTTGTTCAGCTTTGCAGTGCCTTGGAACATATGCATTCTCGTCGTGTTATGCATAGAGGTAATACAGGATCAAAGATGATTTGTCTTTACTAAACCTTTTACTATGTGAGAATTAAGCTGGTTGGAATCAATTTTGACAGCTGACACAATGTACGTTTCTGTAACGTTTTATAAGTAATGGAAAACTGTGACAGAAGTTTGTGGTTGTACATTTGTTGTGGTAGGCATTTGTTTGCAACCATGGCTTGTGATAACCAAGTTTTCAAAAGAAGTGATAGTTCTGTAAGTGGTGGAGATGCTGCCACGTGCTACTTGACTTTTCTGGCTCTTATTTTCTGTCCTGTTCTTTTTCTTCTGTATTTGCCCCCTGTCTCACGCAGCTGTTGTTACCTGCCTTCTTGCACAGCCATTCTTTCCACCTCTTGCTCCTGGTTGTCTTACAAAAGTATTTGCCTCCTGCCATGCCGAATGGTGATGTACAGGCCCTTCTTCCAGTCCCTTATCTACTGGATTATGTGCAGCTCTGAGTGTTTTCTCTAATTGTCTGCTCCTCTCCACTACCACTAACCCTATCTCTGTGTCAGGTACTGTGTCCCAACAGCCCTTGTAGTTGGCAGCTATCTGTCAGGTACTGAACCTCCTTGACCCATTTTAGACCTCTGTACTGCTGTCTTCTGTGTATTGTCTTCATTCTACCTTGTAACTCTGAGTCGAGGAAAACAGATCATCTGCTTCTCAGATGTACAATTTTTTTTCCCCTTGGAAATCCCTCTGGTTGTTGACTTGTATGTGAGCTGTCTCATTGGGTTCAGGGGGAATTGAATGTCTTAGGTTGGTGGCTTCCTTCTGCTGGGATGCAGAGCTGCCTGAAGGCAGCAGCCCCTTGTTCTCTGCTGGGTTTTGTCATTTGCAGCTAGAAATCTTGCACCCTTCAGCAGATCAGCTTAGATGCCCCTGCCCCTGTAAACAGCTTTCCCTTGTGATTCTCCTTTTTTTTTTTTTTTCTTTATGCGTTTGTACAGATGCCTGCAAGTGCAAATGATACAAATAACAGGACATAAAATTACAGATTCTTTCCATAGGGTACAGGTATCTTCCTTTATTGCTTTTTAGGACTAAACTCAAAACCAAAAGGATATTTTAAGTTCCTTAAAATGAAATATTAACTTTGAAGCTTCTGGCAAACCTGTGGCAAATCTAATGATTCCATGGTTACACACCAAAACCAATGACAATTAAAGCTATTTTTAAGTTTAGCTGTGTCCATGTTGGACTGTTACACAAAGGGTGATCCAAACTCCTGAAAACTAGATCAGATAGCAGCGTAACATAATTGCTTCTGTATTGTTCTCTAAAGCTTACAAGGTTTTGTAACTCTTTTGTTGGGAACCTGAAAACACTGGTGTTTGAAGGGTTATTAACCATTCCTTTCACTCTACCCATATTTACGCAAACTGTAATCCCCTCTTATACAACTGAAGTGATTTTCTTCAAGTTTGGAGCCACAGTGCATTGCTCTTGAGCTGAGTATGAGCTAGACTCCCTTCCCAAACAAATAACAGGTCAATTTATTTAGAAACAGGATAGGTACCTTGTTTAAAAACCATAAAATAAAAGTCTGTGCTGTTGTCTCTAAGGGACTGGATTAAAACTTAAACTGAATATTACTTGTGAAAAATAACTGTCTAGGGTATACATCATTATTTTTCTTTGTTTCTACTTGATTAGCCCAGTTCCATTGACGAGTGCAAATAACCATTCTCCTGAGTAAAACTTGCTTTTTTTTTTTTTAATGCCTGCTATTAGAGAATCAGTTACCTATTTCAAATGAATAACATCATGTCACTGTGGTTTATATGAACAGCAAAAGTGATGAAAAATCTTTTACACTACTTGAAAACATTTCTGTGCTGTTACTTAGACATAATAAGAGGTTCTGTAGTTCCAATGCAAGACCTTCTATGTAGCTTATATAAAGTAGTAATGAGCTGCCTTATATCTACTGTTTGGCTTTGAGTGTTGGGGTTTGGTTTGTTTGTTTGCTTGGGTTTTTTTGAAAATATTTTCCATGGCTTTTGATTTTCTTGCTTGAGCAATGTTTGTACTGTTAAAGTAGCTGAAGTTCTAAATTCCAGACTCATTCTTTCTGAACACCACCATTAAATTTTACCAGTATTAGCTGTAAATAAAATCTTCTTTTGGTCTGTTATTAGAGCAGTAGCTTTTCTTGCGACCTTACTGTGACTTTTAAATTTACTTTATTTTTCTTTCAGATATAAAGCCAGCAAATGTGTTCATTACAGCTACAGGAGTAGTAAAGCTTGGAGACCTTGGACTTGGTCGATTTTTCAGCTCCAAAACAACAGCTGCACATTCTTTAGGTAAGCTTTCTCTGAGGTACAGGTGTTGGACAGGTAGATTTTTTTTTTTTTTTTTACATGTGCCCACTCAAGAGGAGGAAGAAAACAGTTAGATCCAGCTGAAGCTGTTCTTAAACAATAATAAAAATGTGGTCATAAAGGTCTTCTTAAATAAAAATAATAATAATAATAATAATAATAATAATAATAATAATAAAAGTGGTCAGCACCATGGACAAATACAGAAAAGCTGTGAAGTACTGAGGAAAGAAGTACTGAGGTAATACTTTCAGCACTACAGCTCACTGGGTTTTCCCCCCGCTTAGTTTGAATCATCTAATGTACATTTCTGCCTCTGAACAAGTGTTTCCTAAAAATGGTAAAGTAATACTTGCAGTGCTTATGTTAGAGCCATTGGAGGACACAAAAGAATTGTTTTTTTTTCAGATGTTGAGGTTTCTAATTAGACTATGAAATAGCAGACTTCCCAGATTAAAATATGCCATGTTTATCCTTATCTCTTAATTTAAGTTTTCCCAGTTACCAGTAGAACATGGAAGAAGAGAGGATTGATGTTTGGCATGTTTGTACCATATTCGAGGTGTGGGTGATACCTGTGTTAACAGCTGAAAAAAATATTTTAGAAGGGAAACTTTTGATTGTTACTTCCCTGTGTTCCTGAAAGCCTTTGGTCACTCCTTTGTGCCTTCCTGTTTTTTACCATGTTTGGGGCATACCGGTAGTGGCATAGTGAAAACCAGTAACTGCTGAGATCTTAATAGGACTGAGGTGAACCTCAGACACAGATGTGCAATCTTGCATTAATAAAAAAAGAGAGAGAAGACAGCAAAGTAGTGAGACCAGACTGGAAATGTGCTTGGGTTCCACACTGAAGATCTGATATGAGGACGTGGCAGCGTTTTATCTCAAGTGCTGCTGTTCGTGCTGCCCTCATAACCCAGTGGGCATCTCTGGTAGCACTGTGGAGATCAGCTCGTAGTTGGGTCCTGCTACTGTCTGCAAATGGACAAAAGATGTGAAGAGGGAGATGTAAATCCTAATCTGTGGATCAGGAGCTCACAAAAAAGGCAGAAGTCCACAGTGAGGGTGGGAGAGTTAGATTTGTGTTCTGAGGCAGAAGTCAGGAAGTTAGAGGAACAAACTGCCTCAACTCTGGATTATTTTGGCTCGTGGCAGGGGAATGATTGCAAAGACTGAGCTAGAAGTTTAAAAAGCTGAAGACTGAGCCAGAGTTAAAAACAGTGTAAAACCCCCAAGCCCTTTAAAGATCCTCTTTTACAGATGAAGAATTGCCCAGGGAGTAGGGGGTGGGAGGATGGCAGCTTTGTTTCTAATGTTGGGTGCTGCGTCCTGGTGGAGGAGCTGCTATTTTTTTTCTTTTTTCCCTGTCTCCTCTTTTCCCATTTCACTCTTAATTATGATCTAATGTCAGAATTCAGCCTAGGAAAAAGGTTTGTTTCAGCTGTTAACTTAGGCTACAGGGGAGAGTGACTCTGATTTATCATGTCACTAACAGAGACCACTTCTTAAAATTAATTTCTTCTGCAGTTTCTGATGCTGGTTTTCTTGAAATTTCTTTCGAAGTTGTACCTTTTTATGATTCTATAAACCTTTGGTGCACAAAACCCAGTGAATTACAAACATATGTGTAGCAATTTATACTTGTTTACAGGCTTTATAAAAATTTCAGTAGCAAACTAGATTCAGGCTTTCAGAGATAAAGAAATGTACTAAAATTTTAATTAGGTACAGCTTCTAACTGCTAATTATGAATAATACTGATTTAATTAGAATACTTACCAATGGTCCATTTGAAACAAATGAACTGAGCTGGACAGGGTTTGTTCATATTCTTAACTCTTTCTATACAGCCTTATCAAGAGGTAGATTTTTCTATACCTTTTTGAAAATAGGAAATCTTTCTTCCAGAAGTGCAAAGGGAAAGGAGGCATTTAGTATTGTTGATTGCATACAAACATGACAGAATTTCTTGTTTTCGGCAGACTTCACGTTAGAAAGGGGAATATGGTTCAACAAAGGCTTCATATTCCTTTCCCTGTGACTGTTAGGGGTTTTTTTGTAGTTGTTTTAATGGCTGAAGGCCAGGCCTTACACTCTTCAGAGACATGGCAGTTCTAAGGCCAGCTCATGGAAACATGCAAACATTCTGTTTTAGCCATTCAGTGGATGTAAAAATAGTCCATATGTCAGTGTTTCAGTTACAAAAAGAATCACTTCAGTTCTCTGCTGTGCTTGTGCTATAAAAGCTGCACAGTGTGCTGTCCAGGCAGGCACTGCCACCAGGATGTCAATACCTTCTTGCAGGGCAAAGCAGCAGATCTGCAATCTTCTTAAAATGCTTGAATGCAAAGGATCATCTGTATTGAATTGCGGTGTTTCTTCTTGGTTTGACAAGTTCTGTCATTTCCGTGATGCTGCTGTCCCAAGCACAGAGCTGCGTTATGAGGGATTTAACTATAAACTCATGCCGGTTGTGGGGAATAAAATACCTCATGAAAATATGTGCAAATACTCTCCTTTACTCTCCTTTCCTCCTGTGTGTGGATTTCTAACCCAGCAGAGGGTGTGCTGAGGTGGTGGTGTGCAGCACCATTCTGTGAATAAACTCCACTTTGATACCAAACCCTTCTGAGAAGCTGCACCCTTAGTGTACAAAAAGGCTGGCAGGGAAATCTGCAGCAGTTTAATTGCAGTGATCAAAGAAGTTGTATTAAAGCAGATCTTATTTTAGGTACAGAGATCTCTTACAGTAGTTTGAAAGCTGAAGATAAATTGCTGTGCTGGTACAATGCTCCATTATAAAATAACCTAAGATGTTTATAGATAGACTTCTGTAGTTAAAATATTTTCATAATGTGGGCTAGGTTGCAGAATTACTTTGGATAAGTGTGGTATTTTAGGTCCTGTATCTGTAGCTGAAGATGAGCCCTTGACTTGGAAGTCTCCTATACCTGTATTAAACATGCACAAAACCCGAAACATTACAGAATCATTAGGGTTGGAAAGGATCTCAGAGACCCTCAAGCCTAACCTTCAGCATGCCCACTACACCACATTGTGAAGTGCCATGTCTTAGAGAATTTGTTGTGTCAGTGGTTGGCCTTTTTTAAAGCTATAGGTTGATAAACCCCTTCTGAGTCAGCCATTACATTGTTTTGTATGAGTAGATTTAACATTTTCCAGGCAGATTTCTCTCCCAGCTTGATAGTATTTAGACCTATTTACTGCATTTCATTCCACTTGTTGATGCACTCAGTTCTTAAGTGAACAGACTGCAGCTCAACTGCGGTGTGAATTACGTGTTTATGCAGGTAATAAGATGGATTGTTTATAACTCCCTTCTTCATGATGGATTCTTTGCCTGTGATCCTTCAAATCCAACTTCCTGCTCCCTATTAACCACCATTATGTCCATTCCCTCTCCCAATAGCAGAAAGTTTCTGTATAGAATCAACATTTTCTGGATCTACAGTATCTTTAAAGGGAGGGAGCTCCAGAGCAGCAGCATATTCTGAGGAAGCACTCTATTTGACCTCAGCCATTTTAAAGGAGTTTGCTTTTCAGACCTGCAGATTATCAGAGATGTGCAAATGTGGGGAACTGAACACTAAAGTTACCAATTTTCTTCTTAAAAATATAGGCATCTCAATTGGTTATGTCTTTTTCTTGTATTATCCCACTTCTGTATCTTCAGAGGAGTAAATGAAGTCAGGAAGTTGCCAATCTCTATGCTGTTGGGATGCTGTATTTCACTTAACACAAAAAACCAATCCAGGAAGGAAACATAATGTACAATTGCAAGTGGTAGTTGCTTGCCAGCAGCACAGCGATGTCCCTAGATTGCTCACCCTGTTAAGAGGATCATTGCAGTGCTTTCAGTAGCTCCTGAATGTCAGAATTATGAATCTTTAGTGTCATGTTCTGTTAAAAAACAGCTTACAAGTAGTAATGATGTCTGAATCTTAAAGTTGTTTTTGTGATTCCATGACTAACATAGGTAATTTCAATTCCTTTCACTAGTTGGTCATCAGGGGCTTCTGGCTGCATTGCAGTGAAGGTGTTACGCTAGGCTAAATGCTGTAAAATGGTAACATTTGTTCTTCCTTTTCACTATCATCAATCTTTCACAGTCATATCAGACCCCTAATGTATCAGCAGGCTTCCCAGAGCTACTGGTTAAAATTACCTTTGCTTTTGGTAGACTATGAACCTTCAAACCTCTGTTTTCAGCTGCCCCCTGTGGTTTCTGTGAAGCCTCTTTCTAGCACATTACTCACTGCCAGCTACTTGTGTGATATCTCAGAGCAGCAAAGGCACTGCTGCTGGAACCAGTGAACAACCAGATTACTATTAAACCTATTTTTTGTTGTTAGATGAGTTCTGCAAACAAAGCATCAGAATATATGAAACCAGTGTATTAATTAATGGGTGCAAAATGCAGCTGAAATTTTTCAGAGGTGTCCAAGCTCACAAGTCCTTGGGGTGTTAAAGAAAATAAATGCAACGGGGAAGTAAAACACTAAGGATAATAAAAATATGAAAGCTGTGTCATGCCAAATGTTGTTTAATTACAGTTTCCAATGTTAAGATATCTGTCATTAAACACCCTTTAAAGTACTGCTGTTGATACATTAGAAAACAGGGTTGCTTCGGATATTCTGGTAGTTTTGTTGTTGCAGTCTACCCATCTGCCTGTATATTCTTTCACGGTGAAAAGAACCATTCCTCTTGACCATTCCTCTCTTGAGTGAATGCAAACATCCCATGAGACTGTCTCCTGCAGTAATCCAATATTTTGAGTTGCTTTTCCCCAGCCTTTTTCCTTTTAAGCTCTTGATCACTTGCAATCTCAGTTTAGAGCTGCAGTGATTCCTCAGCCCAGCACTGAAGGAGAGGGGTTGCAAAGTCTCTGCTTTCTGGGGGTCCACCCCAAAATATTTAGCAGGACAGATCCATTGTAGGATACAATCTGGGGACCTCTGTCCTTGCCTACGTTACAGGAGCACATTCTCAGTTTATGTGGATTTTCAGTATTGTCTGCTGAGAAGGAGATCAGTTGAAATTATGGGTTACCAGCAGCAGTGACCTGACCTGAGATAAGGTGGTACAGGGTTTCCCTGTCTGAGCTGGGCCTTTCAAGTAGGAAAGTACTTCTCCCTCCACCTTAACTCCCTAAGAAAGGTAAGGCACCTTGTCAGAGCAAAACCTTTAACGTTTGGAAATGATTAGAGTAAAATTATCTATCCGATAATTTAAAGCTATTAACCTGATTACTCACATGTGGAATTACTTACGTATTCACTGTATCTCCATTTCTAACATTCACACAGAGATCAATTCTGAATTAGCTTCATCTATGCAGAAGTGTAGAAGTGTTACAAGATCTTTGTGTTAAATAAAGTACTATGGGCTTCATACTCTTAATTTTTGTAGCTTGTAGTGAGAGTGCTGATTTTAATCTCTGGTGTTGCAGGGTGTTTGGTTTCAAAATAAAATCAACTTACATTGCATTGACAGAATTCAACTGGTTTTCATCATCAGCATTCAGTGCTTAAGAACATATTCCAAATAAAACTGAAGTAAAATTCTACATAGATCTGTGACTCTTTTTGCTGTTAGGCAGTCATTTTGGGGGATACAGGGAGAAGGTTCAGAAACAATGCACCAAAGTTACTACTGTCCTTATTTTTCATAACTTTTTTTTTTTATTGCTCAGTCATTTAAGAATGCATCACTCAGATACTTTTTTTTTTTTGTAATGGCATTTTTTTACAGAGCTGAAACATCTCTCAGAATTTCTCTCTTCCAAGTAATAAAGATGGGCAGAATTTGATTAAAATCAAGAGGAGGGATGTCCTGGAGTGTCCAATGTAAATTAACTCTGGGGCAGTCCTAGTGAATGCTGTGTTTCAAGAGCAGATGTCTCCAGAGCCCACAGCTCTCAGGCAGGATTAAGCTGGGACAGGCACAGGTTTGTGAGCTGAAAAGCCCTCGTGGAGTTGAGTCCTGCAGCAAATGGCTGAGTCACTTATGGGAACGTCAACGTCTGCTGTGCTAACAGGTTTTCCTGCCTTCATATCTGAAGGTCCTGGATTTCAGGCTTTGTTTGAATTCCAGCTGTTATTAATTTCAAAAGCAGCTTTTTCAGATCTTTATATTCTCAGAAGGAAGAACAGACAACTTTCAAAACAAATAATGAAATTCAACCCATCGAAGAGAATTTCTAGCTGTTGTTTCTAGCCAGTGATAACAGCTTGGAACAGAAGCAGGGATGTGTGTGTGTGTCTAGTATGTTCCCTAGGTTCTCTTCAAGAGAAACTTACTACTTTTGAGCTTCTCTAAAAGCAAAAATTGAAAGTATTCTACAACTGAATAGTTCTGGTAATGAGGTATCAGTAGTGAAAATAAGGCAGTATTGGATGAAATAGATATCTACTTCATGTATTTATGTCAAACTGAAGTGTCATAAATAAGACTTGAAATTATATGTGTAGCAAAATGAGAAATAGAAGATGAAAAATATTTTTCAGCCCGGAAAACTGTAATTTTACTAATGTGCAACAACAGAAATTTTCATTCAAAAATACTTCTGTGTTTATTGCAGTTGGTACACCTTATTATATGTCTCCAGAGAGGATACATGAAAATGGTTACAACTTCAAATCTGACATCTGGTCCCTAGGCTGTCTGCTGTATGAGGTAATATTGATATATACAGTGAACTTAATAACACTCTTGTACTTCCCCCTTCCCCCCCCACTCCCCTTACATAATTTCAGTGTATGGAATACTTTTACATGTGTAAAAGTTACATGTTACTTGAGACTTGCCTTTTGCTTGGCTTGCTACCAAGATCTTGCAGCAATTTGGTGAAGATTGGGCTTAACTGAAGGATTAATAAATGAATATAAATGAAGGATTAATAAGTGAATAATAGCAAGCACATATAAAATTGTTCTACGTGTTTTCATGATAGATTCTTTGCAGTAAGTTACTTTTATACAAATTGCTTATTTTTATAAATATTCTTATTTTTATAAATATTTAAAACCTAAGTAAAACAATAGAAAATGTTCAGTTATTACTCCTAGCTTGGGTTATCTCTCAAGATAATGAATTCTGCTGCACAGACATATGTAACTTTTCTGTTTTTGTACAATTGGTTAAACTGCAATTAGTGTTTTATTTCTGTATTTCTACATTTAGGATTGGTAGGTGACACATAATTTTAAATAATATTATATTCTGAGAAAACAAAGATACAGGGCAAATTGAAATTAAGGCAGATGAAGGTGTTAAAAACAGTTAGGCTTCCAAGGCAATTATGTCTTCGAAGATCTTTGCATATCATTTCTTGATCCAAAGAGTGAACACTTGTGTTGAAGGATGCTGGAAAAAAATTTGTTTCAATGGCAGTGAAGTCTTCCTAGTCATCTTCCAGGTAAAAACTCATAAACTCAAGTCATATACTTTTTGTTTACCTAAAAACCACCTGCTTCAGTGAGTTGGCAGAACTCATTTAACACATACTCAACAGTATCAGCACCTCCTGTTTGTTTTAGGATTTTGTAGAAGACACTGTCAGCCTATTAAAATTGAATTACTACTAGTGAATTGTCTCCAGTAATATTCATTTACTTTCTACCACTGACATGCTGCTTTGAATATTAAGAGCAAATAGCTCTATTGTAATTCTGCAGTTTGCAGATCTATGTATAGCTGTTGCTTCTAAACCTTGGGGATGATTCATAGGAATGATGTCTTGTAGCTGATAGCATTAAATTCTGAACTAAAACTTTATCCTGTATTGGAATTCTTCAGTGCTGACCATGGCAGCTGCCATTGGTTTCAGTGCTATGCACACTTGCACAAGCCCAAAGGTAACACAAAGGTAGATGAGCATTTTTCAGTATTACTACTTCTTTGCCACTCATTGGTTTTCCTTAGTAGTTTTTAAATCTGGAAGCAAACAAATAAAACCTTTGAATAAGTAATCATTATGTAAAAAAACATGGTTTAAGGTTAATTTTTCTTTTATGTTAAATGAAATTAAATTGCTGGACAGAAATCAGTAGCACTTTTCTGAAGTTTTTTTTTTTTTAAGCTTCCTGCCTTCATGCTGGTACAGTGTATTAAACATCTATGTGAATATTACATTTTTCTTTGATCTGGTAAATAATTTCAGAATAGCTAAATATCTTAATTCCGTTGATTAACCAGCATCTTGAAATACGATTCTCCTTTGATTTAGTTTAGAAGTTTTACTGGGATGGTATTTAAGTTGGTATGATGGTGTTTGTTTTCCTTATTGTAAATATAAAATAATTATTAGGATCCTTATTGTTGATATATAGCTACGGTATATGGCAGTGTCTTCAATTATAGCTTTTAATTTTTTTTTAGAGGTGCATTTATCCCATTTAGTTAATTCTTCAGCATAACAGATGTTTGTGATGGGTTTTCATATGTTGTTGTGGAGCTTTTCATAGAGCATTGAGGTGTAATTTTGAAATTTTAGTTATAGCAAACTCAAAATACATGCTCAGCATCTTTCTCAGTATTATTATTTTCTTTAAATTATTTGAAAGTGGTTACTTGAGGTTCTTCCAAGACTTGTGTGGACTAATGCATCGTATTCTTTTTATCTGCAGTTTTGTGCTTGGTGTCTTTTTGTGATATGTCCATTGCCTGTGTTTGAGCATGTTTTATTATGTTGATTTGATGGTGATATGTGCTCATATGTACTCTGGATTGTCTCCAGATTAATAGGAGAAAAGCTGTGGCAGATTGATCACATCTCAAGAAATGCTTAATTGCTGCTAAACTCTCTTCGGTTATGTTTTAATTTTAGACTAACTTATTATAATGTGTGTTGTTTTTAAAAATTATTATTTCTAACGCATATTACAATGTTTTATTCCATGCTGTGTGGCCAGTAAGATTTTTAAGTGTGTTTTCTAGTCTGAATTTTTTAGAGCCCCAGGTATTTCTGAAGCCTCAAAAACACTACCTCTGGAGTTTTAATTGATATGCAACAAAGTAGACTTTACTAATTAAAATCAAGATGCTGTGCTTTTGCTACACGGACCTTTACATGGAAAAGTAGGTCTTACACATTTCCTTTTATTGTTCAGCGTAGCAATTGCATCCTTACAGGGTTGTAGGTTGGTGGCTTACAGTTCAAAAAAAAAAAAAAAAAAGAAAGGGAAAAAAAAAAAGAGAGAGCGAGCTGCCACCAGCCCTGAAGACAGACAGTGGGCTTTCGTCCCTCAGACACCCCCAGAATACTAATCAGGAAAGTCAGACCCTGGAGGTCAGGGAGCAAGTCAATCATTCTAGTGATCGTCTCAGTGTGGAGGATCAAATTAGCCTGAAAAATTCAACTGCTGGGAGGAGAGGGCGAGCAGCTGTCAGGGGCAGCAGCGAGATGCACTAATGAACCAGATGAATAGTGCAAAAGCTTGAAAATAAAAACAGGACAGTTGACATTTTTCATCTGTCAAAGCAGGAGATGCATGAAAATATAGTATTCCTGTTTTAACTCCTTAGGGGACATTCAGAAATTTTTTTTAACACTCGGCAGCATTCAAACAAAAGTACTTTTTAATGAACACCTAGAGTATGAAAATGAGTATCTGTGCATTTATTTAGAATTTCTGCATGTGTACAGACCCTGCAGTTGATTTTTCTTTTTTTTCCTCCCTTCTTTTCTTTTTTGGTCTTTAGCTTGCATTTTTAACATTCTTTTTAAGGTAAGAGACAATGTCATGTAAATCCAAAAATTAATGTTATTTTGGTAATACAGTTACAGTATTTTTGGGAGGAGTTTAGGATGGAACTGTAGCATGATATTTGTCTTGGGAGCTTTACAATTTTTTTATTCTTACTTGAAGGTAATATGAAAAAGTACTGAACTATATGAGAGCATTTTAATCAGATACAAAGTAAATGTAAGAGAATTTTGGTAATTTTCTTCATACATTTCCCTCAGTGATATTGGTGCTTAGACACGAAAGAGTTAAACTGCTATCTGGAAGACCACAAGACAGATGAGAGCCATTTTCAGCTTGTCCTGTCCCTGCTGAAGCTCACTGAGTAGCACAGCATGGACTAGCGTGTTTCACACACACTCTGCCTGTCTGGGGAATGTACACATTGTCCTTCCAAAATCAAACTTATTAGCACATGTAGAAAAGGGTGACTGGCTTTGGGGCAGCTCTGCACTCAGAGCAGCATTCAGGCTGCTGCAGTTAAAAGATTTCGAAGGTTTTGAACGGAAAGGAGAGATTTTAAATGAATTTTTACATTTCTAATGCAGCTAACCATAGCATTTGTTTCCACCTTAAGTGTCAAGTTGCAACATTGTCTGGAAATAAAGGGTAGGTTTAATAATGCTGGTTTTAAGCTGTCATTTATATAAATGCTCTGCAACAGACTTTCTCATTTTTGTATTTTAATTGTAAATTATAGCCATAGGTGCCAGTTTGGGACTTCTGATGAAGTTTGGGGTTTTTTTTTAATTATCTTTTTGAATAACATCCTTAACTATGAAGTTTTTGGGTCTGGGGTTTTTTTTGGTTTTTTTTTTTTTTTGAAAGTATAGATGATAGTGTTTTCTTGTTTTAAAAAAAACCCATCTGTATGGTAGTCTAGTGTCATGGCTGTGGAAGGTTACAAAATCTCCTACTGCTGTTACCCAGCATTTTCTACATGCTGCATTGCTTTGGGTCAGATAACGTTTTCACATAAGTCATGTTTTCTTCAAAAATGTTTTCAAAGGAAAAGTATGTTTTCGGGTTTTTTTGGTCTCCCTTGTGGTGCAAGGACCCTCTACACTCACAGCACTACTGGGTTTTTCTTCATACTCTATTAATAAAACCCTAATGGTGTGTAATTCAAATATTGCAGTGCAAGGACTGTGACAGCTGTGATTATATGACACAGAACGAGTACACACACTGGTTACAGTAATAGTTTTGGAACTTCTGTTTTTAGCTCTGCAACACATTATCTAAGCAGGAAATTCAAAGTCATTAAGAATCACTTGATTTGTTAGTATTACAGATTTTATGACAAAATAGGTTTACTTAAAAACACAAAAGAAAACTGTGCATTTTCTTTAAACAGATGGCTGCGCTGCAGAGTCCCTTTTATGGTGATAAAATGAACTTGTACTCTCTGTGCAAGAAGATAGAACAGTGTGACTACCCACCTCTCCCTTCAGATCACTATTCAGAGGAAGTAAGTAATTTTCCTTTTCATGGGCTGGATCCTCAGTTTATGTAAGCTGGCACGCTTCCAGGGAAATAAATGAACTTGTGTGATTTTATGTTATTTGCAGATTATGCCCATAAGTGTTTGCTTGTTGAACTCACTCAAATGTTCCTGTCAAAACAAGTCTCTTATATGATTTATATTTGAGAGTCTTAATGATGGAAACGTCACGCTGTTAGATTCTTAATTTCATTGGGCTTCCTTGCAAGTATGACAAAACACTTTCCCAGAATGCACAATGATGTATGTTCCACATGCCAAAATGGGAGTCTTACATCTATAGTATGCTTTTCTAAAAGCACAACAAGTTTATGTTGCATAGTAAATTAGTGCACTGGCCTTGGTTCTCTAGGGGCCTGCATTAAAATAGATATAATGTAACTCACTAGTAAAAATGAATTGTTTAGTTCCCATTTGCCTGCATTATAAAACTACAGTGTGCTGTTCAATACAGTTGAATGGCAGTTCTTTTGCAAGAAAGAGTGGTTCTTGACAACACTAATAGTAGATTTCAGAGAAGTATAGGCAGACATAATATAATTGATTTTGGACAATATACTCATGCATATCGCAACAGTGTTTGTTTTAAGTTGATAGGTAACAGTTCTTACTGTCATTAGTGCTTTTAAGGGGGAATATTTTTTTTTAGCTGTAAAATGAAAAGAAACTAAACAAAATAAATATCTTTCTTAGTGTAACAGAATGGAAAAATATAAATGCTTGCTTGTTAATGTTCTGAGATGCCAGTTTTGAAGCACTTTCCCACTTTGAAAAGAACAGGGCAAACTGATAGAAGCTGTAAACCAAAGAACAGGTATTAGTAACCAATTCTAATTGAATTGAGCCTACATGAATTAAAGATTACTTTGAAAAAGCAAATAAACATAAAGCATTATACAATTTCATTTATAGAGTAGGAATTTCTAATTCTGAACCTTAAATTTTCTTGCATTCAAAGACAGTGATTGGACTATTAATAAAAGATTACTGCTCAGTGTTTTGTTTTGTATTTATAGTGACAATTTTTCCCCTTTTATGAAACAAACTGGACTTAAAAAGATAATTGGGTGATGTTACAAAGGATGAAATAACAATCTATTGTGTAATTTATACACTATACCTCTTTGTGGGTTTTCCAATTAGTTATTTTACCTTGGCCGTTTTTAATTATTATTTATTGTAGACTATAAATATGGCAGTTCATATAACCAACTTCAGAACTGGAGGCCTAGAAATACAGTAGGGTGTGAACAATAATGCAAAATGATAGCAAGAATGTCAGGGGCCGTTCTTTGTTGTGTCATTCATGCTGTCTTCCTTTTTCCATGAAGCGCATGAATATTTCACATATCTGCATCCTCATCCTCTATTCTTCTTGACTAATTTTCAGACTGTCTGAATTTGCATTTCACATGGTAGCTGATTAGGAGATGCCGAGTGCAGCAGCGAAGCCTCAGCAGGCGGTTTCCATGGTGACCTTCAGCAGGATTTTAATGATGATACCACTAGTGGTTCGTTGAAGTTGGCCTGCCTGCAGGGCTACTTCGCTGCAGCTAAGTGTGAAGTTGGAGATGTGGATTCCCAGCCAAGGGGCAGATATCAAAGCCTGGCCCAGATAGAAGGTCTTAAAGTTTGGATGGGGAAAGATTCCACCCTTTCCTTACATCTGTACAGTTTCTCGTGTTGCAAACAGATGCAAAGCACAACATGTTACGTTCTGTTTATTTCAAAGCAGTCGTACTTGTGCACGGTGGATAAACCAGTTATTTGCAAAATACATATAAGTTACTTTAAAAGATAATGAGAGAATCAGAGCTATTATAGGTATCAAGATAAGTAAGAAAATAGTTACTTAAAAGAAGTCATCAGCTATGGAAACTGTAATGGGAACATTATGTTATGATATGAAGACTTGTGCCTTCACTAAGGTACGTGGAAAACACACACATTTATTAGCTATTGCACCAAAATAGACCCTTTTTTACTTGTGTGAAAAAAATACACTGCTGGCAAGAACTCTGAAGAAGAGAAACAAGTGGTATCTGTCATATTAGGATACTCTCCTAAATGTTTCACCTGTACTGGAAATATAAATGTCAAACCTTTAACCAGGTCAGAAGCACACTCAGTGATCAGTAAAGATCAGGGTTCACTGATCAGTAAAGCCCACTTCATTTTTTTTATGACAAAGAAAAATTTCACTCAGTGTTGATCTCTGCATCCTGTAATATAGGAGTGTAAATACTTTTATTACAAAATACAAGACAGGCGCTTTTTGAGAAACTTTTTGTAAGTAAATTTTAGTGAATTTTAAGATGTGACATTTTTTCTAAATTTTGAATCCTCTTTATGAGCAACCTATTAGTAATGTATCACATCTGTGTAATTAGAGAATAGTGTGACAGAAAGATGGACCTTTAGATGGACAGATGGGTAATTTTTTTAGAAAACCTTTGATTAGAAATTCTAATAGTCTAAGATGCGTTTTCACAAACTATTGCTTCAGTGGTAGAGACACAAGCCAAGATTTTCAGATGCTTAATAACTTTGAATATCTCAGTTTTTTAATATATGTTAAAAACATCTGGTATTCAGAGTGAGTATTCAGCACTTACTGAAAGCTGTTCTGCTTTAGAGAATTCAAAGCTGGGGCTCCCTTGCCACCCCCAATCAATACTCTTAAAATCTTCTCAGCCAATATTAATATAACATTGCTTTCATGATTAAGTTTTAAAATCTTCACTTTGATTGAGGTGCATTTCTTCTAGAGTCCATTGGCAGACCTCCTACCCAGATGTGACAGCTGAATGAGCCAGCAGGTTCGTGATGATGGTGTTAGTTGCCAGCAGAAGGTCTTGAGAAAAGCACTCAGAAAAGGCTTCAAGAAGGTCTCATATTCAGACCAAGAATAATCTTGTGGGGTTTTTCATCCAAAATTCCCTATATGAAAATTTTCAGCTAGCTAGCAATGCAGAGTACTTGCCTGTCATATTTCTGTCTTTCCCTCTCCTCCTGACTTGTGTGATAATTATTTATTTCATAGCTGAAAAACCTGCTAAAGTTAAAGGAAGTGTGTCCCGCTGCTCCAATGTCAGGCTAAGCTCCAGGCTAAAGACAGTCACTGTGCTAAGTGTGCAGAGGAGGTTAAGAACAATAAGCAGCCAAAGAAGTTTGCAGCTTGGGGATGCAACAGGACGTCCCTCTAGTTCAGTCATAAGTCTGCTCTGCCTGTTGGACAGTCTGTGCCAGGTAATAAAAAATTTCTCCCATCTCTAATGATAGTCTGACTTTAGAATCCCAGTGCCTCTTCCCATGATACTGGTGAGCTTTTCTGATACATTGAAAATTTTATTAATACCAGAGGGACTGACAAATGGATTTTAGGTTTATTGAAATGGATATTCCTGTAGGAGTAAAGGAATAGTGCTAATATCCAAGTATTAGTATCCAGCGTGGTCCCGGTTTCAGTCCCAAAAGACTGTCTTTCCATGTAACTGTTTTCATCGTGTACAGCAAAATTTATTCACCTTCTTCCAAGGGTTTGCTGTTCAATTACAAGGCTCAAAAGAGCTCAAGGATTTTGAAATTACTCAGGAATATGCATTATTGTTGTGCACTGTCCCAAGCATAGTCAGCTCAGCATTCTGACCTTACTGAGTGAGATTCTGGACTCCCCAGGGGAAGAGGGGGACAGAGATTTTGCGGTAATTGCAGTGACTACCATTTTAAGAGGTCTGTGACCCTGTGGTTTATTTTATTACAGTAATAGTGAAGGTTTGTCACTAATGGAGCTCACCACTTATATTGGGAAGAGAATTTCTGAGTAAACTGATTCTTGTATGTTTTTTCTTGCATTCTAATAATGGTAGCTATGTATGCATTTTACGGAGAGTAAAAAATAAGAAGCTGTAAAAAGCCACCAGTCAATACACCATGTGGGTGAATGATTTTTTTTTTTTTCCAAGTGTGTCTACAGGGATTAATAGGACCTAAAGTCTTACATGTACTTTTGAGTAATGATGCCATTTTGCTACACTGTCTTTCTGAGCAATGAATCTTCTTGACCACTTTATTGAAGCTTGGAATTATAATCTTCTGTAGCAAGTGCAAAAGTAACTCTGAAGGAAGGCTTACTGTTTAGTGACTTAACAAGCAGTTTGAGTCTGAAATGGGGTTTTAGATTGTAACGTTCAGTTTAGAAATCTGAGAGAAGAATTAAAAAGACATGAAGTAGTCTGTTGGAGGTAAACAAAGCTTCTCATGTGCTTCACAGGTTAAGTTTCTTGAAGATCTATTTCTGCTGTTCTACCTGCAGTAAAGTTATTGAAAAACAACTGGGAAAAACAGGAGAAAGAATGCTCTGATTTCCCTCTGCAAGCTTTATAGATTTCAGTCCCTCAAGGATGCTTAAAAAGACTATTTACTGTATGCAGTTCTGTTGAACAGATGGAAGTCTTCACAGAGAAAGAGAAATGTATAAGTTCAAGATTAGATGTTGTATATTGCAGATAAATTACACCTGTGTTCTCCCCACAAAATGTTTGCTTATTTGACGCTAATTTCAGGCTTGGTGATTTTGGATGTTCCTCAGTCTTTCCTGTTTTCCATGCAGGCTGTCTGAGGTGTTAAGTAGCAAGCTGCTCATCCCTGCTAATACACTGTACTGTGCCTCTAGCTTACACTGTGTCCCACCTGCTTCTTCTGCAGGAGACTGTTGTGCTTTGCATGTTTGTATTACATGCTGGCAATTATTATTTCTTACAGTAGCTAATGATTTTCATCATTCTATTCTTCAAATGTTTGTGAGTTATTACAGGCTAATACTTTTTCTTTTCACTGGCATTGTATTTTATTTATTGACTGCCAGAAGCAATATGATGGCTTTTATAACTACATTAGTCAAATGTTATTTAAGATTCAAATAGCAAGTCTGTTACAGATTATTTTGATTTAATATGTTTCTTTTCAATTCAACAAACTGACCACTACCTTCAGAATTAATGGTCTCATTTTTAAATATTAAGCTGTTTTTGCCAGGGAATAGGGATGTCTAGTGACGTAGTTTTTGTGTTGTTAAATACAAAATCCCTGTACGTTGTGTGCAGTTTATCTGCAAGGGCTAATGGGCAAAGCTTTATATAGTGCTGTGCAGTGCTTCTTCCTTAACTTCAGGAATTACTGTTTCCATGCATTTAAATTAATCTTTTGAAAAGTGAAAGAAGTAAAATTATAATTTAAAATCCTTCTTGGTCTTTTTTTAAAAGGTAGGAAGGAAGCTCTCTGATGGCAGGTTTAAAGAGGCAGCCTGTGTTACTTTTGAATACTCAGAGTGATGAGGTTGCTCTGTGTTAGTTGCAATAATTACAGATTTTTTTCAATAATGGTACCTAACAGTACTGCATGGGAGACCAAACCAAATTTGACATATTGGCATAGAAGGGTGGGTCACAATGTGTTGTTTGGAGTGTCCTTCCCCACCTGTCCCTAATGCTATAAGGAGATCCAGGAGGATTTGACAAAACTAAAAAGCACAGAAGAGCTTCAGAGTTGGTTGTTTTCGCGAAAGATTGTAAACATTTTAGTAAGTCATCATGAAAGAGGTATTTTCCATGTCGAAAAACACTTAGGACTTGCATACAATTTAAAATAGATGCCCTATCAGAAGGTCATCCAGACAATATATTAAGTTTTAATGACATAAGTTCTTGGGCGTATAAATGGAGGAAGAAAAGCCTGCAACTGTCCTGCCAGTTTGTGCAGGCAATGAAAGGTATCCAGGTGGTGGGAAAGCTCTTTGGGGTTGCTTCTGCTGAGTATGTGCATTAAAAAGGCCCATTAAGTTATGATGTTTGTGGAAACATAGAGTTTTCTATAGTAGTGGTTTGTTTATTTCCAGGCTTTTGTGAACATATTTGTTAATTATGTCCTTTCCATAAGGAACACAATAAATGATCTAGCCTGAAGGAATAAATACTGGGATATAGAGCAAAGGTTGTTTATTCCAATATAGTATCTTCAGCCGTGGACAAGTGAAGTAACAGGGCCAATATAATGTGTGCTGTTCCCCAGCTTCCAGTTTTAAGTTCAGAAATTTCCTCAGGGGTGAAGTCTTTATAACAAATAGCCCACAGTGGGTTTAATTTGCTCAGTTGCTTTCTGAATGTGTGTGCCTTGGTAGCTCCTGGCAGCAGGAGGTTCTGCGGGTTAACTGTGTGTTAGAAGGAGAACCGCTGCCTTTTGTTCCTTGGAACCTGTCACACAGAAATGCCATTTATTGCTGGCAAACTCTTGTCTGAGTGAATGAACAAGCAGTCCTCATTTACCTCGCCTCAGCCTTCTGAGGCTTGCAGGCACACCCCTCCAAAAACATGGGAATTTTCTGTAGGTTATGTGTGATTGGACTAAATGCACACCTGAAGTTGTACATTTAGAAGGATTAGAACTTAAATTTGCTCATCAATTTTAGTGCACAGCAGTGCAAAATGTAAAAATCCTGGGAGCACCTTGCATACATTCTTGCATAAAACTGTGTGTCGAGAGAGGGAGGGTCGAGTGTGGGCTTATGCAGAACTGCTGCTTGGCTAATTTTTGCTGGTTTTATTAATTTGGATTAGATAAAGCACAAATACTGCTTGTAAGGAGGCCAACGATCCTGTCCTGTTGTTTCCCCTCCCTAGCTGCGGCAATTAGTTAATATGTGCATCAACCCCGACCCGGAGAAGCGACCAGACATCACCTACGTGTACGATGTAGCGAAACGTATGCACGCGCACACCGCCAGCAGCTGAACTGACGCCAGACCAGGAGGAAGAGAGCAGAGATAACCAAGTATTTTAAATAACTCATCCCACCCCTCTGTGTGTTACACAAATGTAATTATTTGAAGCTTACCGTTGTGCTTTGAATCGTAAACCAATTTACATACACAAGCTTTGTTGTTTTCTGTTTGTTTCTGGGGGTTTCATTTGTATTTTTTACTAACTTGCAGCTGTACAACAGGTTTAAATGTGTAAGGCGTAATTTCAAGATACCAAGAACCACTGTTTTCCATGATATGTGGGTTCAAGTATATTTTCTGTAATAACAAAATTGTATTCAGTTGGGCCTCAGTTCTAAAACACAGTTGCACTTTTGCACATGATACAGATATTAGGCTTATTATCCAGAAGCAAAATGTCTGAATCTCTCTCACCTTTATAGTAATTTATGGAAAGTATGAATCAGCACAGTTAACTTTATTTTAATCTTTGTTCTGAGAGGAACGTAATTTTTATAGAAGGTTATTGTGTTTTATATTGAATTGTAGTTTGCAGTTCTTGCTGTAAGAGTAGACAGGTGATAGGATTAGTTCTCCGCTTGCTAAGTGCGATGGAAAAATAGTTTCAGGAAAATTTGTCATGCTGAAATTTTTGTAACAGCCCTTTTTGTTTTGTTATTCTGTCATAATACACATAAAACACTTGTTGGAGGTTTTCTGGGAAAATTTAAGGTGTTGATTCACGAATCTGGTGGCTTTGAATAGATTTGTGCAGCACTGCCCTGGGGCAATAGGAGTCTGCATAGTTAAGTCTTAAAACCATGCAGATGCTTCTAGTAGCAAAGAGGGGTTCTTCTGAGGCTGTCATTTGTGCAGGTCTGATTAAAAGATGTGATATTTAGGTTACAACTTCCCAACTGTTTGTGTATATGTCACTGTTTGTAGATTTTTGTGTTTAAAATAATTTGAATGACCTTACAATGTATTTAAATTTTAAAGTGTTTGGGTTTTTTTAAGTACAGAAATCTTTTGGGAAAGATATAATACTGTAGTATAACACAAAATGTATTCTACATAAATATATAATTTTTGTATACTGTATCCTGGAATTAGTTTTATATTTAGCAAAATTGAATTTTAGCTTTTATGTTTAAGAGAAAGTTGCCAGTCCTTCATTTGGGAAATAAATATATATGCAAACTGTCTTACAAATACTTTATTAGTTAAAAAGGAAATGCTGAATATTTTTGTTAGACCTTAGTGCCTTTTTGAGTGTGTTTAAATAATATTTTTATTGTTAAGGAAGGAATGTGCCTTGTTTCTAAATGTGGCAGAAATGGAGAGTGGAATGAAATTTCTAGAGTTTCATGACTGAACTTTTTATACAGAACTGTCTAAGCATAATTCTTTTCAGTGATAACAGCTAAGAAGCTGTTACAGTCAGTTAAATCTTTTTCCTTAACGTGGGTAAAAAGTTAGTTCAAATAAAAGCAGCAGGATGTACATACATGTATAGGTTCTAGATGCAGTCACTTCCCTGCATGCTCAGATTTTTTTTTTTTTTTTGCTTGTTTGTTTCTCTGTGTAGCTTTAATTTTTTGATTTGATATAATGCTCAAAGAATAAAAATCTGTCTGTGGAGTTTGTGGATGAAATGTTCAGCCTAGGTCAGGATTGTTTCCAGTTTTGTATTTTTTAAAACTGCAAATAGTATGGAAATTGTATTTGGCAAAAAACAGGAGTTTTTAAATAGTATGTACCAGATCATGAGCTTATCTTGATACATATTTTTTAAATCTTTGTTTCCAGATTTTATAGGATGAATTCTATGAAACCATAGTTTTCCTTCTCACTTGTGTGTACTTAATCTTGTAGGACTTGAGTGGAGAAGAGGTATTTGAGAAACCTTGGTTTATATCTTAAAACCTCTAGATTTGTTTTTGTTATCTGATTGTATAATTTTTAAAATGATGGTTATATTCTGTAACTATATTTCATATGTCATAGAATTAAATGCTTTATATTGAAAAAGGCAGCACAATATTTGCTTGACTGCCAGGATTAACTCTTAATATGCACAAGTACTCACACAATCTTTTTTTTTTTTTTTTCTGAAATGGGCTAGAACATTTAAAAATCACTGAAAAAGCCCCTCAGTGCAGTCAGGCTATTTGTATCTAATCTTATGCATAGAGTATTGAACTTTTCCTGAAAGAAACCGATAATAGATCTCTCTCCCTCTGGAGGATATGTAGAGTAAAAAAATGATGAGTTAAGAGTTAGCAAATGTGCATGCTTAAGCATTTAAATTTTTTTAGGTTTGGGGGGGGGGTTAGTATTTATGATGAAATCTTGTGTTGAGGAAAAAAAATAGTTGTTCATGATTTAAAATCTGTAAAACAAATGGTACAGATGACTCTGGTACCAAACTTTATAATTAAAAAACCCCATGTGGGTTAATAGAACTGCTTACATAATTGGGACTGTAGAATCTATCCCTAAAGTAAAGCACCTGGTAACATATGAAAGTGATAAGTCTGTTATAGCACTCCCATGTGTCCTACATACTAATAAAATATTTTCTTTTATAAACGACCATTCTCTTTTTCATATGTTGGTGATGACATATGGCACTATTTATTTTAAGCTATGTTATTATGTGTTTATTTTCTTTAAAGAAAACATATTGCATTTCTACCCAAAATATCTGACTAGCTCCTCCTTTTATTTCAGTAATGCTCTGGTATTCTTCTTGCTTCAGAAGTGAACTTTGTGCTTTGAATGACATTGCATAAAATCTCTTTTGTCTTGGAAACTCCCCTTCTGTGCAGTAGTCTAATAGAAATAAAACACACAGATATTAAATACAATATAAAAATTATAGTATTTCTATGATATTTTTTCAGACTTTTCTTTGTTAGAGAGATGTATATAAAATATATGTTACAGTAGATGCTACCTTGTCTTGTGGACAACTTAACTGCTTCCAGTAGTTGATTCTAGGTGAGATTTCTTGATTGTAACAAAAGATAGTACAATAAAAAAAAAATCTTGTTTGTATTATTTGTCAAAAGTTTATCTAACAATACTAAATCCAGTATATTGACAATTAATCCAAAGGAGTGTTTTTATCTAAAATTTAAAAATAAATTTAAAATTATTTTCATACCATGTGAAAATATATAGGTTGACTGGTTTCTATGTAGTTTCAGTAGTTTTGAGTGAACCTCATCTACACACATGAATAAATAGCAATCAGTAGTGTATATAGAAATGATATGCTCAGCTCACTTTTTATACTCTCTGTATGTCACTGGTTTGGTAGCAGAGAATAATGTGGGGTTTTTTTCCCCTCTTCTGTTGCACTCTAATGATCCAGCTACCAGTTGTACGAGCAGGCGGTAGAAGAGTGTCGTCTTTTTGTAATGAGCAGAAACTTTAAAAACATGCCAGTATACCAGAAGATGAAATGCAGTATTAGAAGTGTCTGAGAAGGCTGGTGTTTTATTCATGCTCATGATTAAGAAAGCCACAGACTGAAATTCTTGACAGAGGCCTGGAAAATGGAGAAGGACTTCTTATGCCAGTGGTTCTCAGATACCTCTGAATGGGACCCAAAATCACAGTGATGTTTGTTTTCAACAATCTGTCTACTTAATCTCTTATCTTTGCTGTTATACAGCGAGATGAGAATCTTAATGGCTAAATTTGAATGCTGGTGGTGAATGCTGCGTTGGGTATTTGAGTTTCTAGGAACAGGAGGTTGATGTGAGGGAGAATCAACAAAGGCCTTCAGGTCTGCTTTGTGAAGAGTTAGTTTAATCTGGAAGTAAAGGTGCTGGATAGCAGATGCCAAATGATGTTTTCGATACTTTTTGGTACTTCTTTAACAGTCAAAATTTTTCCAAGCCAGCCATATCCCCACATCATCTAGACAGTGGCAGTATCGGTCTTCTGAATTTATGATCTCTGGCTTGGTCTGGGTGAGTAACTAAACCTTTCTGGCAAGATTACCCAAGGAGGGAAATACAGGTGCTGACTGTGGAGTGCTACTTATGTTTCTGAAGGTGACTTAAGTACAGGTTAAGTTTGTTTTTCAAACTTGACTCCCTTCCTTGAACCCTTTTTCTGCAGTTCATGCTTTTTAAAAAGTGTTTTCCTTTCATATTCACTTCTACAGTTCTACGACTCCTGTCTTCTGCTTCTTCTGCTTGATTGGTCCTGTTGTCTGCTCTACCCTCTTCATGATTTTGAAGTCCTCTGTGTCTAGTTTTCCTAGTGGCCATTAGTTTGCTTCTTTCTGTGTAACTTTGCTAAACTCAACCCATTTCTGTCTTCTCAAAATTTATCCCTCCCCATGAGCAAGCCTTCCCCCCCAGTAAGTACTTTACTCCGCTGTTCTTCATCCTGTTTTTCCAGCCCAATGCCTGTGATTTCTAGTTTCAGACAGATTTTCTCACTGCCTCAATCATTCCCTTGTCTTTACTAAATACTGTTCCCTTTATTATCTCTCATTTCTAAATTCCCTTTCTCTGATCACTACCTGCTCCCTTTCAGCTTATCTGTCTTTCTCTCTCCTTTACCCTGTCACTCACTCCTTTTGGGATCTCCAGTCTATTAACCTTTTTGACTCCTTTATCTTTTCAGCTGCCTCCTTCCTTCATTGGTCTCGCTTCTTTTGACTCACTGGTCTTTATTTTCATCTCTATCTGGTTCTCTGTATGTGGTATCTTTGGTTGCTTCTCACATTGCCTTGTCTCCATTCCTCTGTCCAGACATTTTTTTTCTTGTAATTTTTTAATTTCCATTCCAGCTTTTTTGAATATCTCTGAAGAGTATGTCATTGTAACACAGCTTTGGACTCTACTTTGCCTTGCCTGCTTTAATTCTCTTCCCAAATGGACTTTTTAACCACTCTTATCTCACCCTTTTTTTCTTGTTGAGCTTGCTTTGCAGATTTGCTGTTCATTTTAGTTCTCCATTCATTCTTGAAATGAAATCTTCAATCTTGATTTTTTGCGTGACAAATCCTTTTCAAAGTTGTTCTTCGTTTTCAGGATCTGTTTCTGAACTGAACTTCTCTGCCTCTTAACTGTACAAATTTGCCCCTCTTATTTCTGTATATTTTATGCCTCTCGTTCTGTTCATTGAAGGACTTTTTTCCTTCACTAGCAACCGAGTTTCTCTTTCCTCTGTCTTTAAGGGGGTAGCACCCGTCATCCTGAGGTTTTTTATACTTTGTCCTTTTTTCTTCCTCTTATTTCCTAATTTCATGTATCTGAAGACCCTCTCACTAGTTTGTTTATTACATTACACTTTCATTTGAGTGCCTCAGAAATCCAGTGCTTCCCCCTCCCCTCCCCACCAGTCTGGTTCTCCGGTAGTTCTATCTCCAGATGATTCCTTTAGGATCCAGCCAGCCTCAGACCTGTTCAGATTCAAAGATGTAATTTTTATTTCTGACTCCCTCTGGACTATTTTCCAACATCCTTGACAATTTTACTTGCCTATTTTCCAAGGCCACAACCTTCCATCTCTGACATTTCTCCCATGCCTGTGTATCAAATGTCTTAAAGTTAGATGTATCAGATTCCAGCCCTCTTCACTATGTTCTTTCTTATCTTTTATCTTCACTGATTTAACCTCTGTGTCATTTTGACTTCTTTTCTCCCTTCAAAGTATCAAAAGTGACAGGATTTAACTGTCATTGGGCTTTCACTGTTTTGTGTGCTGAAGAAGGAACTCCACCAAATTACTACATTTTTGTGTTTTAAAGAGACCTGAATCCCACAAATCTGGTCTTATTTCTGAATTGTAGACTGGAGTAGGCACTGTTTTTTCAAATACTTCAGAAGTCTTTGAATTTGGACCTTAATTTAGTTTTCTGTCATTTCAGATGAAAAACTTTTTCCCTTAATTGCTTTGTATTTACTGTGTGTAACTTTGTCTTGTCTTGTTCCTGCATGTCCAGCTAACAGTTTTTTTCTTATTATAGCAACTTCGTTTCAGTGCTTTTAGCTATTGCTTGAAATAAGAATATGCTTAAGAGCGTCACTGGCTGGATCCAGAGCGTTAAGGCACAGTGCTCGTCTTTGTTCCTGTCCCACCTTAATTCTGGCTTCTCTTCCTTGCTGTCCCCTGTGTCTGGCCTGGCTGCAGGGACACTGTTACACTGCAGGGTGGTGCAGCTGAAAACAAGGTGTAACTTGTGTTCTTGCACCAATAGTGCAAGTTGTTATCAGCGGCAAAATGTTTATTCCTCTTCTAGGTCTAGAACGAAGCTCAGTGCTGAACAAGTTCTCTACCCATTTAAAAACAAATTTAAAAACAAATCAGACCTACCTGCATGGTGGGGGCTGCATGGTTTTCGGAGGTGCAGTATCTAAATTGACAGTTTTAGCAGGCTTTCAGAGTTGGGGGATTTTATATTTTCAGAGATTCACTGTTGATCAAATTGTCTGACCTTTCACTGCTCGTAATTATCCTCATATATGTGTTGAGATTGAGAAACAGAATTCTGTGTAAAACTAAGAAGTTCAGTGTTTTGGAACTGTGGGATGTACATAGAGCAGAATGTCAGATTTAGTTTGGTGTGTCTGAGTATATACACGTTTATTGACTTTTTATTTGCACCAGAATAATTCTTTTAGAGTGTCAGTTGCTTGTTGGCACCAAGAATTTTTCTAGTAATTTTCAGGTTTTATATTTACTTTTGTTACCTGTTTGTATCACATCATACCATTAGTTAATTTGTTCTTCTGCAGCTGCCCTAGTGATGAGTGGAGGCCTTACATCTTTTGTCTCATTTCAGTTTTCTATCATATGGAATTAAAAATAAATTAAGAAATTATTGGTGCATTGAGTCCTTCCTGATAGTTCCACTTGCTTTTCATTTAAGGGCTCTCAAATAGGAACAGAAATGGTCTCCAGGACAGAGTAGAGATGTTTTGGGGGTCCCTGCTTCCTCTCAACCTCCCATCCCCTCATTCTCTGGCTTCCCTGGGGCACTTGCAGGGGACCTGGCACTGCCATGGTATCAAGAGCCAGTAGAAACCTAGTGTGGATAGGGAATCTCCCAGTTAAAAATCACTAGGAATATCTTTGGTATTGTTATGCAGTTGATAATTCCAGATATGTAAAGATATTAAAAAAAATGTGTGTTTGCTGTTACAAAGAGAATTTTAGGCTCTTAGTTTGCCTTTTAATGTGGTGTTGGTACTCTTCTATAGTCTTCATTTGCTGCTTGTTTCTTTGATTTCAGTTAATGCTGGACTGTTGTAAAGATGATGATTAAAGATGAGTATTGCTTTTTTTATTGTGAGAGGGAAAAATGGGAGGCATTCATTTATTTGTTTGAATTTGGCTCCTGATTGTGTTTGAATCAAATCATATAATTATTGAGATTGGAAAGGATCTTGAGAGAGGTCTCTAGTCCAGCCTCCTGCTGAGAGCAGAGTCAGTGCTGAATACAGACCTGGACTTAAGGCTTCAGCAAGTTGGATCTTGAAAGCCTCCGGGATGTTGATTGTGCAGCTTCCCTGGGCAGCCTGCTCTGAAACTTAGCTGGCTTCACTGGAAACCTTGTCTTCCTT